ATGGCCTGAGCCTTCTGTCGGTAGAGGCAGGCCTCGGTCTCTCACTGGGAAACCCCGCAGGGGTGCCTCTTGCCGCGGCAATGGTCAACAAAGCGACACTAGAACGTGGCGCTGCTCCTGCCAACGCTTATCGATGTTGGACATTTCAGGGATGGGTTTGGAAGCATGGACGCGAATGAAGTGAAAAATCCGTCTGCGTGAGATCGTATTTGCAAAAGAAAAAGATGAAACGACGAATAAAGGAACAGCACTAAAATAGAAGCAAAAATATATAACACCCTGGCATTCGGTGACTCGGCCAGAAAGAAGTGTTTCCAATAAACAAAGTTCTAACAACAGCAAAGGAGATCAACCGCAGACGAAACCGGGGAATACAGTATCTAGCCATGACAACCACTGTGTCTCCTATACTTCACTGAATCTAGCAGGCACAAGATCGGTAATCTAAAAAAAGGCTGGCTCTAACAAGACTCAATCGACTTAAAAGCTACCGTTTTCTCTATGGGCATCCGCTGTTTCCTATCGTATCGATTCGGTGAGGGAACAATAGGCATGGAGAAGGGTAGAAATAGACAGAACATTCTCTCTTTGTATGTGCTGTCGGAACAAATCACGCAGCAGCGGGTACAAAAAATTTAGTAGTCAATGAACGATTTCAACTTAACTTCAAGTCATGCCAACACGGACAGGTGCCGCAGCTTCCTTATAGACGATTTTGTGCGATATTTAGACAATAATTTGTACTAATCTCGTGATGGCCGATTTCTTGCACCGAGTTACACAACAACGACGGTAACTGTCCACAAACGCTCATTGAGGTCGAACTGTGTTAGCGTGTCTTGTAATAGTTACATAAAATCTAATATAAACCTCTAACAAGAATTAGAGACTTAATCGAATGTTAGCGTACGTTAGAGCCGTAAAACAGCGACTATAATCAATTAAATCGAAGCAATGACCAGTAATGCCGCGTCCGTATGGTGCGAAAATTGTTACAGAACTTTCATTGAAAATCTTGTTCATTCATCTCAAGGGGCTGATAGTTGGTGTCTAGTAACTTAGCAAGAGGTCGAGCGCTGAACCCTCAAGCGAATCCCACCAAAGACTGGGATGAGACAGGTGCAAGCCAATCGCTATATGCTACCTAAAATCCTACGATTCCTATAATAACTTCTGTGCATGAAATCTAATGCAGTCTTGTGAAATACGTACTAAGGACTCAACAAGAATTTCTAGCACTAGAGACCGCTAACGTGGAACGGGCCGTATCTTTATAGAAGAGATGTAATTATCGACAACTCGAGGTCATGCTTATTCGATACGCTAAATCTTCGCTACGGAAAATAACGCAAAATTGACATGGACGCACACAGAAGCAATTCTTCTCAGCTCCGTGACGAAATTTGCCATTTCTGCCATTAATTTTCTATAGCAAAATCAAAGAGCGATCTCGACGGAAGCTTTCTTCCATTTCAATTCGCTGCTTGATCCTCTTTTCGGTGTTCCGGTCTAGTTCTTGTAGTCAATATACATACAAAGCGCGCAGTGAATAGAATATGATAAGAACAATAATACAACAACCCTAACAACTGCTTTTTATGGCTCTTCTATTGTACCAACTGTACAGAGATATATCCTATTCGTGTTACTCTACTAGAACGTGTCCGAGCGATGCTAGAGTTCTTGATTCGTGCTGAGGAAACCAATCTATTAAGTTTCGAGCAATTTGTTAAGCTGAAAACTCCAAATCTTTTTCGCCGTGGGGTGCGCGCGAACTCCTATTACTGGCTTACTAGTGAGGTTCATCAATGTACGAATTCATTGGCAGATCGAACGATTCAGGGCAGTGAATCTAGCTCGAAACCTATCGACATAAAAGACATTAGTCACTCCTACCCCACACTCCACACAGCAGTTACCACAGAATACTAAAGTAAATGTGCTATATTTACCAACGATACATCTACTAGTATATCCTCCTAGTTAAGCAATCCAGCCTCGAACAAAGCTCACCTAGTTCCCTTCATTTGCCCTATGATCGTTCTATTTGTGGTAGGTCCGAACTGAGACGTCGTTTGATCCCTGGACGATTATTCGTATCGTACGGCATCAATAAAGCCGTCATCCAACTAGGTGTTAAACAATTTTCTTATGTCGACTGACAAACGACGATCGTCTCCACTACAGCGTATGACTGTCGTTACTCAGAAGCGCACTGCCTGCGATTGAGTATTCATACATGACTATACAATGTCAGCTAAAAGACCAAAAGTACAGATCATCCTCACTGGCATCACCGGAAGAGAACGAATCGGATACAGCGCGCACAAGTTAAGCCATTTCCTACCTTCGTTTGCTTTTCGAAAGCGGAACAGTACGAGTTCATTTGTTCACGATTCCGCCCGACGCTAACTTCGGATATCATTACAAAGACAGTGCGCAGTTTTTTCGTCGAGAAGACGGGTTACCTGGCCGGTATTTCTACTTCAACCAAAGCTGTGAGTCTTCAACGCGAGGCTGGGAAGTTTGAATTTAGCTGGTACTTGTACACGAAGTGGGCCGCCGCCGCCGCCGCCGCCTGTCTCTTCTTTCAACCGGCAATGTTTTCCTTTTTATGCTTTAGTGGAACGAAAAAAGGACGCCTGTGAACGACGCCAGCTATTCATTGTTTCACCATTGCTTGCATAAGATAACAATAGTCGAAGGACCGGAAGCAGTATTATTACAGAGGTAAAGTCTCAAAAACCAAATCTCTCTTGCAATTCGCGGTGTCTAAAGTTTGACGATGGCTGATGTATTAACGCATTTCCTGCGACTCTGTAGTTGCTATTATTACTTTTGTTTCCAGTGCTTTTGCCGTGGTAGCTGGCACGGCAATAAGCAAGGGTGTTTCACAGAAACGATTGCCGGATTTCGACTCATCCGAACGACTGCTTCTGATATCCCGTTTCACTTCGACACCTGACGGCCGCTTATTGGACTTCAGAGAAACTATCGTCAAACAGCCACTGTTGCTGCCGCTGCTGTCGAGTTTAAAGCGTCAGATTCTCTCGTCCTACATACGTAGGCAGTGACTGGCCGGAGCGCAACGGGCGGATATGACAGAGGGCGTCAGGTCGAGATAAAGTCCGCAAAACCCAACTCTAACGTACTGCATGGGTTGTACGGCGACGCTAACAGGTAAATGTCATTCTAACATCGTTTGAGAAAGAAGATAAAGCACGTAATATCGAAAGAGAACGGAACGAAGACGTCTTCTTTCCAGCTTTCAGGTAATCGCGATTAAATTTTCGAGGACGCTAAACAGAAACGAGCGCACAGGATGTCTTATTGTAATGATTTAATTATGTAGGCGTTATTACATAATGTATACTGGTGCATTTGACAACAGGTACATTTAAGCTTAAAAATTCATCAACGAGAGGCAAGTTTTAGCGTTTTTCTCACTTACAGAAAGAATACAAGGCTACCGATATGTCTTACTAATAAATATTATATAATTGTTCCGAGCACCTCATCGGTACTGTGGAATTACTATATATTATATGTACAAATTATCCAATTTCAACGTACGGCATGACGTAATGTTGCACTAATAATGTGATGTAGGATGCGCATTGTTGAGTTTATCAAGGTAGCGAGTACATGTTGTCGAAATCGAGACGCTTTTTGGATTCAGCAGTCGTATGGACGTTATACCTATGAGAAGTTCGTTCTGTCTTTCACTAAGATACTTTGCTTTAGCTGTGTGTATGTCGATTACTATGTCAAGCTATCGACTAGTATCACGACCCCAGCGAGTCGGCCTAAGCCAGCGTCCGACAGCCAATAAATGTTTCAACATGCTCCTTCCACTAAGTAGACCCTCAGAGGATAAAGGCAGGAGGCGCGTTTTCATATAAACACAGAACACAGCCAGAATACAGCTAAAAACAGCAACACCTTAGGCGGCGTCCGGGAGCCCAATATGGCTGGAGGAATACGACGACACGATGAAATTAAACAAGCAACACCGAAAATCCGGACAGATCCCAGGCTCTAAGCGGACATATAAGACACTGTTTAAGGCCCTTCTCCCACTCGTTTTCTCTATTTTTCCATTTTGGTCGTGTTACGACTGTATTACAAACACATACAAACACGAAATAGCCATCATCTAGTCTATGCAGAACCCGTACCAGGGCTGATGCCAGCGTTCTGCCGCTAAATCGTCGTCAGCGTCAGATTATAGCGTATTTTCAATCCGGATGAAACGAATGGAGCCGCCACCGCCGCCATCCTTGCAGCAAAGTGTTGTTCTTGTGGTATTATAGAAGCTTAATACCAGTACTGCCATCAAACGGGTTGCTGGTCTGCGCAATGCTTGTTTCGGGTATAGAACTCCAGAAGCTTCTTTTGCTAGAAGCGCCTGTCGAATGCATCCATTTGTTTTACTCGTTTCGATAGAACATGATTACCGCGCATAGTGAGAAAAATCCACTGATCCATGTACTTGAGGGCCGTTAGAGCGGCTTTCGGCCGATGTCTGCATGTTAAGTATGTCGAGTTTGAGAATATTGATGATATTCCGGGATATCCAAGGGTCTATGGGATGCATGTCATATATATATGCCCAGTCAAATGGCGGTCACTTTTTATGATCCTGTTCAAAGGATGAAGACCATTTGATTTTCAACTATCCCGAGAAGGATCGTCCCGGAGGTTTACTGTGCACCTTGTTTGTCAAGGTGGCGCAGCAGTTTCTTCTGGGGTTAATTATAATGTGGTGAGCTAATTCGATATCGGGCACATGGCAGAACTTCTGGGCTAGAGAACAGTATGAAATCATCGTCCAACCTTATAAGAATCATTGAATTAATTATGACAAAAGAAGATCTTAGTATAATATATGTCACAGACTAGACTTTAGACATCTGCTCTGCTCTGTTCATGATCGGCGAAACCCTTAGTTGGAAAAATTCAACTAAGAATATGAATATCAAGCCACAGATGACACTTACTTTTAACGATAAGCTTAGCAGCAGGTGTCTCCCTGCTGCCGACCATATTATCAGCCTTGCAGATATAATTTCCTTGGTCTGTAGATCGGACATCTTGAATAACTAAATTGCTGCTAGAACCTTCTTGTAGCCTGAGACGATTCACCTTTGAACCAACATTTACCTGGAAGGACAAAGTGAATCGGTAAAAGTTAGAGTTAAAAGTGCATCTCAATTTCAGTCGACGCATCAAGTCCTTGGCAAGGTGCAAGGGATATTGTTTACAAATTTAAACAAGGGCCGCTTTTTCGCCTTCGCGGGTACTGGAAAATGTCACTTCATGCTGAATGCCCGCGTCCAAAACTATTCGTGATGAATTGGACAGCCGAAATGGGCAAATTTCGCAACGGCTACGTAGTCATCCACCTCAGTTACCTTTTGCATTTGATGAACGTCACATCGACCATCAAGAGTTGTGTGTCGCTAGCACAGAGGGAAAACCAGTTGACTTGGAGCTTTGTGAACCTATTTTGACACAACCGCTACAACGGGAAGCCAACACACGTTCGCTGCAAACCAGTTTTCCGCCAGATGGAATAACAACGTTCGGCGATATAAAAAATTAGAGTTATCCATTCAGAGCTAGAAGTACCTGTATTCGTGCAAAGGTCAACCAAGGCGCGTTGCTCTTCACTGACTTCGCGATGATATGCTAATTCGGATATGTTGAAATCATCGCAAGTACAAGTAAAAATAAGTACGCGGTACCATCATGATCACCATCTAATGTCTGTACGTTCGATCATATTTCAGTTAGGAATAAGGCGAGCGGTATCAAATGAATTAAATTGAATTATCTTATCTCCATAGCGTCGTTAACGAATATGTGTAATATATTATTTGTTTGTTTTTATCCCTTCTAATAAATCACTTGCAGACACCCTGTCCGTGCTGTAATAACACAAAATTATCTCCCATCAAGAAACATCGACTATAATATCGTATACGCAAACTGCTATAGACGCTGAGATATTCACTCTGTACACGCGATTCCCATCTTTTCGATTCGTCAACCCTCCTGTGTCGCCACTACTTTAGCCAGACATCCTATTGCGTACGCATGGACCGTTCCATTTTGATAGATTCTGTGATTTCCGCACTCATACCAGCCCCACCGCCGATCACGTTCATTTCAATATCATAACTACAGTCTTGATCGAGCCATTGTAAACCATTAGGCTACGTACGATTCACACGAATGACTATGCACACTAATCCAAATAACGGCATCGACCACAGCAGCGGTAACGGTCGAAAGTGACAGGCATAAATATCAACCTGATCACGATGCTTCCACTTTTGGTAACGACAGTCAAAGTGGCGGCCGCTGCGGTGCCCGAAACGTACTATCTTCACAGCAGGAGGCCGCATCTCCGTCAGCAAACTCAAACAAAAGGACAAAGTTCTCACCATGCTATGCTGTAATAGATTAATATAGATTCAACGGTAAGTGACTATTTCCCTATTAAAACTTGATCGATATGGAATCTGTGGCTACCCGGTCTCATTGCCGGCTTTGTCTCGTTTGCCTAGCAGCGGCTAGTATCGAAGATTGTATAAATAATTGCGATATTTAATCTATTTGACTCTCTCTCTGTGCATTCGCAGCCTATTTGTGTTCACGACGATTATCTTTAATACTATGTCGGTGCTCTGATAAACAATATACATATAGTATAAGCAACAGTCAAATTTCTATACGGGGCTGTATGGCTCTGGAGTTATACTTAGCCCACTTTCCTCTAAAAGGGGTTGTATAACCATTCTTTGATGAGAAATGCTGGAGTAGAAATGTTCAGCATGAAAGCAAACGAACGATATCAACTATGACGTTTAAATTATAAGGAAACATCCCATATAGTCATAAAGAAAAAACTACTCGACTATTTCCATCCTTCTCAGTGTGTCCCTATCTACCCCCAATTCCTCTATGCTACGTACACTGTGATCCAGTCGCAGCGCAATAAGCTCAGCGGGAAGTGGTGACACGTAGATCCCTGTGGGACACCATCTACCGACCTTCTCCGCGCAGTATTTCATCGGCGGATTCTTCTGCCACATAGGATTCCGTTTTTGTCATTCTCGGTTGAAAAGTTCACAGCTCTGCGTCGATTCCGATTAGTTCCACACGGGCTGATAGCTATGCTATAACCGCAATGCATAGTTCATATGACAATGAAGTTATCGCCAGAAGCTGAATTATCCGAGTTGCGGAAGCGTATGTTAAACATACTTTTAGAAAACGACGGTACGCACTGCGACTGTTTTATGTCATTAAATGTTTAAATAGTGGCGGCGTACAGAGTCGAGCAAGGATAATCCCCCTAGGTGCATTGACATTTCGATCACAGTAACAGTGGCCGTGAAACATGTATCATGATTAATTTTAAAACTTCTGCTACTATGCCGTCTTCTCCATGTTTCCTTTTACGCAGTCATACTCTTCCTCTAAAAGATCAAGATTTATTTGAGAGTCCGTTCACACAGACGCGAACGGTCCTATGCATGAAAGAGCATATTTCGCCTTATCTCCTATTACATTCCTTCCAGATGCGGTAACCTCGATTTCGGTTCGACGCTACTGCGTTCCTACAATAAACGGACAGCTCAATGAAGGCCAGACAGAGGCTGAGCAGGTGCTTACCAAGCGCCACCCTAAGCTGCTGGTTCGTCCTTGTGCCGGACGACAGCCGCGGTCGTTTAACCGCTACTGCTGGCCGCTTCAAAGACGAGGGCCTTTTGGAAGGAACAGCTGTTTGTGGGCAATAACCCAAATAAAATGGCCGTCGGCATTGTCGAAACGCGTTTGCTTGGCCAGGCGATTTTAGTAGACGAGTTCCTCTAAACGAATATGAAGATATTTTCGCAGATGATGTCATTCTGATGAGGACGGTACGAGTCACCTGGCAAACAAAGCTGGGTTCCAAAGGGAGCAGTGGTCGCAGCAGATGCATTTAAGAACGCGGCAGTACCAACAGGTACCAGTAGTTGCACGCGAAACGACAGTATGGCCCTAAAACACTGTTAGTTTTCCATAATATTGAATCCTTTAAATCGGAGCGGCCCTTATTTTGCTCCGCGTGCCAGCACACCTCGACCGCGTAATAATGCCACTGCAAAAATAGCAGTGACTACAATAGGCGTAAGTATCCTCGAGGTAGGGGCAACCTTTGTCTTTGTCAGAATCCAACTAAACGTGCATAGCGATGTTGTGAACAAACAGCGTCTAAACCACTGGGCGTTGCTTGTCGGTGAGATTCCTGGCAAGGTTCCCTCCCCTTAAAACTGAACGTGAGCTAAAGAACTCAGACAGTGGCCATGGCAATTGGAGTAAATTTGTCAAGAAGCAGAAGATAAAAGCCGCGAAGCACTTTCACAGACTGTCCTCAACGAACGCAAGGGGAATGTTGTTGCTGTGGCAGACTCTAATAGAGTCTACGAAGGATATCGATGTTGGTGACGTGGACTCTTTGCAATACGTTGTGCATCTCTTACCGGTTGGCCTTCTTTGAACCACGCAACGGTAGGCGTTGGTACGCCCTCTGGAGGCTCGCACTGCAACACGGCAGTCTCTCCCAAGGCTACTTCGATATCAGAGGGAGCCGCTAGAAACTCTTCGCGCAGATCTGTAACAAATAAAAATTTTCCTTAATAATTTTAATGCTATGTGTAAACATATATAAGCATGCTCTAGTTATTGTAGTTAAGTTCGCAATCGACCGTATTCAGGTTCGAAGCAAAGCCAAACAAGTTACCTCAGATTGACAAATTCGTAAAACAGCGAGTGTTAAAAAAAGTTTATCGATCTTACTTTTTTTTTTTTTTTGTTTCTTCTGTAGTAAATGTAGTGTTAGATGTATTAGAGTAAGTTTCTCGAGAGCGATGAGCAGGAGCAATTAAAGAAATTTTATTATCGATTACGTAACGTTCCAGTGCTAACAGGCATAAATGGTATTACTTTTTATAGCTGCATATAATCAGTATACAACATTTTCTAACTAGTTATAGTCAGTTATTAGAAATATACGCGGTGCTCTTTCGTGAACTATTCTAGTAAAAAAAAAAAAGTAATCATAAAAATTACTTAGGAAAACGTAATTTAACAAATGCAATTAACATTTGATACGCGAGGCGGTTACTTTGGAAGTAACGTCGGCGCTTTCCGCGCAAGGAAGGTAAGCAAGCCAGCTTACCTCTATGATTTTGTAATTATTATCTTAGATGATGAGGTTCATGTGAGTAAAAAAATGTGGAAAACATTAAAATGGTAGCGTTTCAACGATTGTTCTTGGCGATCCTAAACGAAATTCGTATGCTTCGCCGAAACGAAACGGCCCATCTATGAGCATATATATATATGTGTGTGTGTGTGTGTGTGTTACAAAGTCAATCAACTTAATTGGACACGGACGTGCCCGTAATTACGCGTATCGAGCCGTCCCAACTGTTGTTCGATTCCACTAGCGTCACTGACACCATGAAAAACCTAACGAGAAAAGAAACGCTACACGCTTCTACTAAAGAAAATCGAAAAGGACTAAATCCAAAGAACGGCGCAGCTTAACATAACAGACGGATAATGCTGAGCACGGTATAATGCACCGAAAAACGACTATTTTTTTTTTTTTTTGTTAAAGGAACAACAACAGACGAACGGTGTCACTCTATGGTTTGAAGGCAGTAAGCGAATCCATAGAAAAGACGCGACAAGATCTGGACGAAGATCACTGGGGTCGCCGTTACCGCTAGTGTGTAACTAAGAACCACCCAGAGTAATAGAACGAGATGAGAAAAGCGCAAGTTGGTGCCGGCTGTCCCCGTATATTTAAGCGAAAAAAAAATTGGCAAGAGACACCGACGAGCATACGAACAACCTTGTTTGAGCTGCATTTAGCAAAAAGTAAAAATTATATTGAAAAATGGCCGGACTGGCATAGACTAGTTGGATCTATGTTAATATATCATAGATAGAATTCGATTTGTATGAATATGTAGAAGAGAGTTTATGACAGATATTGTCTACAGCGTGACTAGAATCATGTGAGAATAACGCGATCTTTTGCTATTGAAAAGAATTGGAAATAGTGCAATAATTCAATGGGACTCTCCACAATTTCCGCAGATAATTCACGTATAATTTAATTAGCAAAAAGACTGGCTTTCTGCTTGTAATTTCAACTGCGCCACGTGTACCCACATGCTATGCTGAGGGTGACATTTTGACTTCTCGTAGTTTGGCCTGTTTTGCTGACAGCTTCACACCAGTAGACGCCCGTGTCTTGCGTAGCCACTGATAAGAAAAAAAGGACTCCGCTTTGAGAAGATCCGGAAAATGATGTCGTTGCTCTGTAACAAAGATCGCACAAAAATCGATAACAAATAAAACGATCTTGCCAGCGAAAAAATGGTTCATCACAATAAAAAATGTAATAATCATAGTGAATTTTTAAGGGTTTCGGTTATTTGGAAAGAAAAATGGATTTTATCAAAAGCCCCTATCGGATCCCACAAAGTGCTGTTTCCTAAAAATTGTACTAGCGAGCAATTTAATTATCATAGAATTTATGGTAAATGACTGTAATAGTAGCGGTACACTATCAATTTAAACAAAATTGAAATAATTGGTAAAAAGAAGAAATAATTAATAAATATTTTTGTATGTGATTATCTGGTGAAGCGTCATCGTACCTGTCTCCTTTAATGGGTCGGCCTTTGTGGAACCATTGAACTTTTTTAGCGCCTTCCGTTCCGCAGGTCATTTGGGCCGGATCATCTCTCAATACAACGATATCTTGTGGCTGCCGCGTAATCTTTGGCCGGTCATCTACAAACATAAAAAAAACAATCTAAATATATTCCTTTCAACTTGATAATTCTAGATATTAATAAATCCCTTTTAGTTTTTTAAATTCGTAGTCGATATACACAATTTATATAGGTCTATCAAGTTCACAAGAGGGCCGTTTTTCACCGAAACATTAACAACAACCACTTACTTACGGTATCTGTATACGCGACACTTAGTTAAATTGCTCACCTTCCTACAAATAATAGTGATTAAGTAAATAGACGCCAAATATATGGACTCAATATTGAATTTCTATCTGACAGCGTCCAGCTTCGAAATCGATATCAAAAAAGTTTAACTTAACCACAACCACTTGGTATATATTCGCTTGTGAAGAAAACTTCCATTCAGACATCTAGCGTGGCCTATCTATTTCCGATACTTTTTTTTAAATAATATCATTCACTACACACTTCATTCACTCTCTTGAAGATGACTTGATCGATTTTTTAGATGAGCTTGAGAACCTAAATCGAAGAACGTAACACATTTTCTACCTTCATACGACGTTTTATTGTTTATATACAGCAGTTACCTTTACTTTGCATTATTCTCACTATTAGACAAACCATAATAATAGTTCAGGTTCTATCACATCTATTTACACCATCTTCCGCAACACGCCCCACCGCACCAAGTAGCATGAAGCAAAAGAAAAAGTGTTGTTTCCTATTTTTTTCAAATGTCCGCATAACGCCTCGTGTCAGAATGCTACCGCTAACTGTATCATCTAGCATACAGACACCTAGGCAGGCTGGCTGGCTGGCTGGCCACCGCCAGGGGTAATAGAACCTGAAGATTTTCTGGAAGAGAAATCAATGTGTTCTTCCAGGCGAATTAGCTGTACCGGCTGCTTACGCTAAGCGCTCTAAGCAGTGAAGGAAAGATGGAAGACTGAACGTTTGAGAAAGAATATAATGGACATACATACGCAGACAGCGAGACCCCTAGAAAGAGTAATAGAAAACCGACAAGACGACAACGAAATAACAGCAGTAAACGCAGGCCAGCAGTAACTTCGTCACCGTCGGTAACGCACATTAAGGCGGAACCATTCCGGCGCCAGCAGCGCGAACACACACTCTAGGACATACAAGCGGGGTGCCAGCTGTAGAGACGCCTATGGGAAGAGAAACAACACTTTAACCCAACCGAATAATCGAGAGAAGACCTAAAAGTACTTCGGGCCTGTCTCGCCTTAACCGACCACTCTTGCCGGACAGATGACGGTTGACGGGTTGAGTTTAAAACATGACACGCAACGCCACTATGCTTTGACAATCGGGGCCACGTGAACATGAACAAAAGATTTTTCGGTTTTAACCCCCCATCCTTCCCGCCCGCGCCTCCCCGTCTTACATAAACCCCTACAGCTTTAGTTACCCCGGCTAAAAAGTTCGCTCTTTCCGTTATACTTTGTTTTAAGCCTGCCAGGGAAGGAGAAGGCTCTAGTGCAGTATCTGCTGTGATGCGCGAATCACGGCACGACCTGATGTCTGAAAGTAAACATGTTACACTGTGATAACACCGATTGCACGTTGTGTAGGCAAGACGTAGGCGATTGCTCGGAGCTACGATTTTCCCGCTAGCGGAATAAGTAGCAGACTTAACTGTGGCACAGGCGTCACTGCGACGCGCTATTACAAGAATTTTGTTCGCCATATTATTGTATTTCTATCTGCTTCGGTCTTGGCCATCAGGTCGGTTACGTTCGGCTGATCGCCAGTCACCGATTGTCGACCCAACCAAATACAGGGCCCCATTTTTGCTGGGAGTTCTTCCATTTTCGTTGGATGATCTCCCTAGACGGTTGATTGCTTACTTGCTGTCCTGCTGTTGTTATTGCTGGTACCGACGCATCGTCTGCTCGTCCTGTATTTCATCATCCAAAACGAAAGAAATGGAGAGGGACTAATGCTAACTGACTCTAACAACAGAGAACGAGCTTTTGTAACAAAATCACGAGTTCCTGGTAGAGTCATGTCGCCGCCAGGGCTTCTCAGTGTATCCTGTGACGCTGATAACAGCAGCGGCCCGAAATGAGCGTAAATGGGAAAAGAGTAGTGCGCGTGCTAGATGTCCAGTGTCGCCGATTCGCAATCCAGACTGATCCAAGAAAGGACGTCATGATGAGCTTTATGTTCCTGTTGATTTTCAGCAGACAATGCAACCTAGTCTTAGGATCACTTTTGCAACCTCTAAATAAATAACAGTGGACCAAGAACGACACCGTGACGTAACGAGAACTAAATGGTGCAAGGTTAGCAACCGAAATTATCATGGGTCGAAAACAGCTAGTTTATAATAATAAGAATTTCTTCATTTAGTCATACCTGTTCTTTTATTATTACTGTTATCACCATCACAGGATTAATTGAGAAGCCCTGGCGGCGACATGACTTTACCAGGACCTCGTGGTTTCGTTACGAAAGCTCGTTCTCTGTTGTTAAAGTCAGTTAGCATTAGTTCCTCTCCGTTTCTTTCGTTTTGAATGATGAAACAGTATATGAAAAGTAATATATTTAGTAATCATATTGAACTACGTCGACTTCTCGAATACGTGATAGTACAGTAAACATGCATAGATTACCTGAAATGTCTACCTAACTAGTGAGAGAATTAATGATGACCGCTTGCGAGTGGGCACGTATAAAGTGTGCGCTCCGTTGAGGATCAGAAAACTGACGACGTTCACGAGGAACTATAAACAATAATAACCGTGACCGTGTGACGTTCTGCGATGCGTGCAATACCCATGCCTCGATTATGCATTTTACCATGTTCAATTATTCGTCCACCGTTTGGCCTGCGCCCACCCCACGGTAAAGCTTGGCCGCGTAACTTTCCAGGCATTTAGCTGCTAGGTGAAGATTGCCTTTAGGGACACTTTTTTCGTCCATTGCAACCAGCATCGAAGGTCTAGCAACTTACCATGCTATCAAACCGAGAACAAGGAATCTTGATGACTTTCAGTATTGCAACGTGCCACGCGTGGGTTTTTACGATTTAAAATAGTATCCGGGAACGTTGCGCATTAGTTTATGGCTAAGAGGAAGTACTACAGTAATTTCGAGCCTTGGAACAATATTTTCATCATTCATTCGTCGCTTCATGGCAACAAGAAAGGGGACGTCCTGCACGATAGTAGCAAAAAAAACCGCAGCAGCGGTTATCCGAAGCCCAAAATCACAATGGGACACGGCTTGCGAAACGACCAGTTCCGTACTGCTTGGTCCGCTTCATTGAGGCCTGTGAAATTACAACGACAAAGTCGAAAACAAACAGAACAGACAGGTACACATTATTCCTGTCCTTTAAAGCCCGCTATAGGAAAGGGCGCTGTTTTACCTTTTTTGCCAGAGAAGCCTCGAACCAATTGGTCGTGTATGTTGTTTTTTCCTTGCGCTTAAGCCGTAATTGTTCGGCGACGGTAGCAATAATAACAGAAAAAATACACGTCAACTACCCGTGTGAATATTCGATTAGCGTAAAGCGGAACGACGTGAATAAAGTACGCAGCTCGCTACCTAAAATCGGCGATAGGAACAAGCTGTGGTAGGCTTTCAGGTAGCGACATCCGTCTGAACAGTTTTTTTCACTAAAGCCGACATGTATTGCTTCCTGTATACGTTATGCCACCTATCTCTGAATATTCGACATAATAGCAAGCCGTCTTAACATGTAGATGCTCTATCGTTACCAAACTGTTATTACTATTAGAATCTTTACGGAAATCCTGTTCGAAGGGCATATTGAAGTCTAGTTGTCATTTTTGGGCAGCATTGACGCGGCTGCCGGTGCTCACTGCAACAGATCCGAAAGAAGCCGTTCCACATACTAGTAGTATTTCAATACAGATGGCTAAATCATTTCAAAATTCAAAGTAGCCCGTTAGACGGGGCTGCCTATTCAGCCAGACCGCGTCAACCTGACCAATTCGAATGTTCATCGATATCTGGTCTCCTTCAGCGCTCCGTTGTACTACCTTCTTTTCGCCTTTCTGTCTAGAGTACAATGGTTCCGTGTACTGGTTGATAGCAGTCACGCTGCGGTTTAGATGACGTTATCTGTTCCATTCACTATCGACAATCGAGTTTCGCGGCCGTACCAGCTAGTGGCCGAACGGTTTACGCGAAGCGGACCCCTGCTGAATGAAGCACAGTCTACGATGCGATCCTTGAATTAGCCAATAGCAAAGAACTATGGGGAGACCCAAGACGTCAGCTGGTGTTCCGTTTCGTGCTAGGCGGATTAGTTCAAATCTGACTCGTATTCAGGCTGTACACGTTCAAGGCTCTGCTCGTGCTAGAGATGAAAATAATGACAACGACAAAGGCTGTACATTATGCTAACGATTGCGACAGGTATGCTAATATGAACGGCCGCTGAACGGGATTCGCTCATTCTTCCAGCTCGTTCGAGATGAGAAAAGTCGCAGCGATAACCCCGTTGCTTTTCGTACCTTGACGGACGGTGCTTAATTTGCCATACAATACGGACGGCTAGCTGCAATCAAAATGCTGTAGAAACAAGACTCTGCCCACGTCCTGATATGTCGAAGAATATTCCCGGCATCGCTATCGTTCGCACAAGCCCAGAGCACAACGACCGTAATGAATCTTTATTTCAATAGTGACAGAAACTATTTAGAGTCAAAATGTGTAAGTGAAACACCGACGCTACATTCGTTTTGGGACAGAAATAGTAGAGAATGCGTTGTTCACGCAACGAGCTCTACTTCGTTTCTGTGTCGTTTAAGTGTGCCGTCGCCCCCCTGTCGCTCGAACTGCTACATATCGATCAGCCGTGTCAGTCAATGGGGGGGGGGGGGTATCGGTAGAAGTTCTAGCACTGAGCTTGCTACAATGAGGATAGCAGTATCCCGCAAACGGTTCGGGTGTGTACGAGTCATCGGGCATAGCGAGTCCGTCCTGGAACCCTATGCGTCAAGCGGATACAGAGGTTCCGCAAGAGAG